GGACAACAGAACATTTCAATATAAATATCAGATAATCTCAAGGTATTGTCCCGTAATGCACCATTTGTAATCCATCATGCATTAGTCTCTAAACAGCTGACAGTGAGTGACAGCCAATTAAATCTCACCGTCAGCTGTGGGAATAAAGAATTAAATTTAACTGTTGCTGCCTGTCCAAAACCAAGTAAAGAGCAGGTTCATTTCTCACTTGGGGAATGGTCTGGCTAGGTAAAGTAATTAAGACTGACCCAACACAGATAATATTAGCTTGTGTAATTGGACGAATCACAGATGTGGGCCACCTGACATTTCCATTACCTCTGAGAAGTTATCGGTCCACACTAACCCCCTCTCTGGCTTTGTGGTGGTCCTCCTGCTGCAGTCGAGACTTCTGCACATTTTCCTCTGTTTCGCACCCCTCAGCTCAAGACAACTAAGATGTGTTTCATGCTCTGCTTTTGTACAATCGCAGGATGAAAATGTGCACCCTGCAGCTTCTGTATTCTCAGAGGAGATTCTCAATTATCTCCTCTGAGAATGCAGAAAAACTGAAAAGCTCTTGGAATACAGCAATAAACCATTTGCCTGCTTTGTTTAGTTTACTGTAAATGAGTATCACTCCAGGTCATAGCAGGGCTTTCCAAACTGTGATTTTTTTTTTATCATGAGGGATGATAGGATCAGGGCCCAGAAGAGAAAAGCAGCCTGGCTCATCGCGCTTGCCCCAGTTAAAAACAACTATTGGTAGACGCCATAAGGCATGCATTTAGTTTGTACTGTAAACAGGGCTGAAACTGTGTGTGTTTGTGTGTGTGTGTAGGTGTGTAGGTGTGTGTGTGTGTACGCACTGAAGCAGTTAAGTACATGTGTGAACTTCACAAGTTACACTTGCCATGACCTCGTTCAGCACCTACAAATTATCATTCTTCAGTTGCCTTGCAATTGCCAAGTCAAGTATGGTTTTCTATGTATATCCCTAATAACCACAGTCTAACCTGATTATTACTGTAGGCGTTGTATGTGAATGTTGGATTGGAACAGTTCGCCTTCCATCAATGTTCTCTTACATCTACATGCTGTAAACCTCTTTAATTAAACATTCAGTCAACTTTTTTCTTTTTTGGGACACGCCTGTCAGAACAGAAATGATCAGTTTGTGAGTGCAGTCAACATCAGCAACCTGTATATGTCATACCAGAAAATGACATAGAGTAACGAAAATGATTTCTTATAAGACGTGTATATATATACATATATCACAGAAATTAGTTCTTGTAGAACATGAATTATATCGCCCACTCTAATCTCCAGCTGGGATAAGACGACCCAGAACTCACATCTGGTTTGCACAGCGTGCGTACATTTACATAGCTCAGCCAGGATTTAGTGCACCGAAGATCATTGAGAAGAGTTGGACTCTTAGAGGTGTAGACAAGCTTGTTTTATCAGTCAAAAAGTCATACATATTACACTTTTTTCACATTACAAGAAATATCTCCGAAGGGCCTTAGTGAGAAATATAATTACAACTAAGGACTTTAGTGCTGCAGTAATGATTCACTCACTCAATCTGATTTCACTTCTTCCTTTCTCTTCTCATTAATGCATTGGTTAGATAAAATGTAAATGTCTTATAAATTCTTCTTAAAAGTCTAGAAGATTCTTTTCAAGATACACATTCCAAACTCTTTTTACTGTTCCCATTTTTTTTTACTAATACTGATTTTAACAGATCAAACATTGAGGTAAGGGCAACATAAAAATAGTAATCTCTCCCTCCAGATTGTGGGGGTATATTTCATAGGACCTATGTACTGTATGTACTTATATATGTACATGCAGTATTTACATTATTTAGCTGTTGTCACAATATCAGATTTTCACTCTGTGGTTAAAATGAGGACACAGTATTATAATATGTGTATTATTAACACAATATCAATATTTCATTTGTAAGTATCACGGTTATCATAAACATCAGTATTTCACAACACACCTAATAAGGTCATTGTATTGCTGTCAAAAAACATAGTGCTTTTAGAAAAGACTGGAACACATTTTTATGCATATTTACTGCCATAGACGTTTTAAAGATTAGAACAACATCTTGGTAATATTTGGTAAAATTTAAAGCTATTCAATATTTTTATATTAACAATGGAATAAAATACTATGTGTAATCTGATAGTGGTCGCTTGTAGTGATAAACCCACAAATTATGACCCAGTTCTCCTCAGCTCCTTGGAGCATTTTACCATTAGTCAGGTGATTTATATTAATTAATTAATTTAATCATTAATAATTATTTTATTTATTTGTCAAATGAACAGAAACACCACTCCAAATACTGTAAATGATAATGTTGCTGCATGTCTGCTGGATGTGTAAATAAGTAACCTTTTTATAAGAGGTAATATCAATGTTGTGGTTACTGTACAGCTTTTTTCTGCTGCTCCCAAGTGGCCAACAACAACAACAACAACAAACACAAATTTTAAGAATTCTGCTTACATTAAAATCTTTAAATTGAATCATTTGGTCTTCTCAAATCTTTTTACATACATGCTGTACTGTATAACACATACTTACACTACTGAAAGTGTAATGTAATTTTGGTGGACAAGTGCTGCAGACTATCTATGTCTCCTTGTTTCCCTCACTTGCTTCCTTTCCTTGTGCCTTATCTCCCCCCTGCAAGGAGGTGAGATAAAGACACAAGGACATACTGCACAGCTGTCAAACACCTGTCAAACTGGTACCAATGTCCACAGAACCCCTTACAATTTCAAAACCTTACAGTATTCATTCAGATATGTAAATGGTTTAACATTACCCATTTTAGCTGTATTATTACTGTTGATGATCATTTAATAGTCATTTTAAATAGGCGTATTATAATATATGTACAGGTCAGTATAATTTTTTATGATTACTTCAGTTGCGTAGCCTATTTACTTGCATTATTGTTATCTGCACAATAATACACCACACAGCTGCGTAAGAATGTATATTTTGACGGTAGTTTGAAGTAAAAAAAAATTTAAATAAAACTAATTTTTAATTTAAGATTAAATTATCCTGTAAATTATTTATTACACACAATGTGACGGCGCATTATATTGCATCTCTCAAGTGTATTCTGTTATTTTATGCGTGGATGCATAAGCTGTGTGAATTAAGAATGATCGAATTTAGTTCTTAACATTATCAATTTGGTTTTCACTGCCAAACATACAAATAACATGTTACACATGTGGAGGTGCATTATTTTTAGATCACGGCCACAACTCATAATACAAGCCTTCCACATATTATACACCGGTGTTTCCTCGCTCTCAGCTCCTCCAGAAGCCTCCTATCTCCTCGCTCCTCGTCTCCTCCAGGTGGATTTAAGAAACTGGAAGATCCTTTATGATGGCAGAGGTGAATAATGTCCAGGTCACAGGTGAAGAGAGGATGCGAGAAAGCACAAGTTAGTGTCATGAAAAGCACCCTATATGACTCCTGAATGTGCAGTTAATTTACATCTCAGGCTGAGTCGTTAAAAAAAAAAAGTTAATTGCATTTTTGAAAATGTTTTAGAGTCTGACAAGAAGTGTTTTTCCACCTAGTAAAGGTTAGACAACTGAATCCCCAACAGACTTCTTATGAGTTGCAGGCTGACATTTCTTTTTCTTTAAAGGCACCCCCTCTCCACAGTCGCTCCATAACTGTGAATATCCCCCTGTCATTCGCTCAAGTGAGATCATGGAGCATAGATCTGTCAGATAGCTGGGGATATGCATTCTGTCATCTTTGCTAAGGGCAATGTTCTGTGTGAGGTATGCACAGTATGTCAGTGTGTTTTCACACTGTTATAGGTCAGAGATCCTTTTTGGTGTGTGACAAACCATTAATGGTGACTGTGTGATGTCAGGTCAGTGACCCGAACCTTAACATCAACACAGGTTGGTTCTCACATTTCTAAACTAATAGTTTTATTAAGCTTAGAAGGATGATGACTACACTGTCAGATTGTTTTTAAAGCGTTCAAAGAAAACTTTTGTATGTGTGCAACCTGTATTCTCCATGAATGATGATTTTAAATCCAAGGTTATCGTGAATGACTCTTTGTTGCTGTTGTTGTTGTTGTTGCAAAGCACTCCATGAAAAGACTATGTTGAATACCAGCTTCCATAAATCCACCAGGCTTTGATAAATATTAAGGCTTTGAGGCATTTTGGGAAGAAATCACTGTGTAATGGAACTAAGACAACCTAGATGACTAACGGCATCCCTATGAATGCATTCGTGTTTGGCTATTTGTCTTCTCTGCATCCATGCAGCCTATATTCACTCCATAACCTAGTCGCGATACAGAAACAAGATATACAGTTTCCCTTTCCCATTCCCAGGTTTGAAGATGTTTGGATCTCATGTTTTTTTCCGATATTGGCCTCATAATCAGCTGATGATTTTGTACTCACCCGTCATCGCAATGACTGGGAAAACAGCCAACTCAATTTTGGGTTTATCACATCTATTAAGGCAGGATCGCCCTTGACCAAAGTCATTTCCCAGACAAGAGGGATGTGCCCCTGTTGTAAATGAATCTACCGTAGTTACCATAGAAGAGCGTTACATAACAAGAGTTTAGAGTCTTTTTTTAAATTGTTGGGATTTGGGGGCAAAACATAAAAAAATTCTATCAATTCCGTTGTTGTTGTAATTAACCATGTTCACTTCACAAATTACTTTTTCTCAGCATTACATATCGTCATTGCTTATTTGAATTAACACGAATTTACAGCAGAAAAGAAGACATAAAGAAAATGCACCACTTGAAGATCATAAGTGATTTTACACAAGCGCAGTAACTCATTACTATGTTGCAGAAATTCTTAATGTGACAATGATGCGCATCCACGTATACAACAGCTGTAAGATACATCTGCTTCGTCCAACTTCTTTGTATATTATGGTGCAGCTCTTTTTTTTTGTTGTTGATGTTTTGACTGCAGGAGTTCAGGTGGAACTACCTGTTTTCCTTCCTGGCGTTACCGGCAACAATGCAGCTGTGTGTGCTGCCCTTCCTCCCCGAGAGTCCTCGCTACCTTCTGATGGAGAGGAGGAATGAAGCTGGAGCAGAAAGAGGTAATGTATACACTAACGGAAATACATGTGCAGTCAATTTCACTCAAGTACATCTGCAGAATGGGCTTTAATGTTTAATGTAAAGTTTCTGGTCTGTACACTAATCACATCCACACACTTCTTTCAATTTAAATTTGAAATATGATTCTCCTGCTGCACCATGCATAAATTACTTCAATGTGAAAAACTGTTGAAGTGAAGGTTTACATTTTCTTTTTCTTTTTTTTCCAAGCCTTTCTTAAAACAATAGTCAGGTGCCAAAATGAACGCTGAAACAGGGTTTTGCAGTGAACAGATCCCTATGCACAGCCACCAGGTGCTGGTTGGTAGATCAAAATTAGCCACTGTACACTGAAATGACTTTACTGTGACTTCATTAGGAGCCACCAACGCATTTCACCTGTGGCTTCTTCAGGTTCACTCAAAAATTATATGAAGCAAAATTATATGCCATATGTGATAAATACATGTTTTTGGGTTTACCATTACATGCACTGATTAGTGATTGTAATCCAGCCTTGAGCACATGGGTCATTTTTCATTCCCGCCCCAGTGATAATAACAGCCACAATTACCTACTGTTTTTCCGCGACTTGCTGGTCCTCTTGCTGTGTTCTTGTATTTCTAAATGGATCTCTGGAGTTTTTTCTGCAGAAAGAACAGCTTGTTCAGCTTTATTTCAGCTTAGTTTGAAGTTGGTCTTTTGTATAAAAATGGAGGCAAAATGTTTTTGATAATCTGATAATTGGAAACGTACGACCACCAACATATAACACCTAAATTGGAACTAATATGACAGAAAAAAATAGGTTGTAATATCAGCTAGGTATTCTCCTTTGAGACCTGTATACTATACTGTACTGCAATACTATACTGTTTTTGCCTATACATATAGCTTATACATTTAGGCAAATGGCACTATTAAAAGTATGCCAAATTAGCAATTCCTGTTGGCAATGTTTCCATGGATGTTCTGACAACTACTGCATCACCTAATCACTTTAATACTGAAAAATGATTTATGGACTTATATCTGTGATGAACATCGGAGATAGTTATATTTTCACACTGAATGGTATCAGTTTCATGTCTGTGTGTTAAGATTTGAGAGTTTGCTGAAGTATAACCATACCTGTTGTTTCCATGTGTACATATTGAAAGACCTATCAGCTGTAAATGTTATTACTGTTAGTGACAGTTTTTAAGTAAGCTGCAATTTAGATGCATCCTCTCCCAACCAACATTTTTAGATTTCAGACTTCATAGGAGTAACTAGACTGTAGTATGATCCTCTTTAATGTTAAAATGCTGTGACACGAGAAGAAACAGCATGGGGTAGAGGCATAGCTCAAACTGCATGTGTTAACGAAGCATGTAGAAAAATGTGACGTAAGATATGACTTTGATCAGTTGGTCTCAGGGGTGATTTGAGCTCTTTGATGTCAATGTCCATACATTATAGATGGGAACTCTTGGTTGCTTGTATTCTTTGTCAATGGCCCATCCTGTTTGCTTCTTCTGAACTCAGAGTTGGGCAAGAGTTCAGCCTTGTCAGAGGACTTTACAGTGGATTTAGCAGTTAGATGTTGATAAATTATAAAAGTCCATTTGAACAATTAATTTTATTCTGCAGTATTGATCATATTTATTTAACCTTCTGGAAGTGCAAAAAATGCTACACATGCATCCAAAATACAGTATACATATGAAATGGACTGGCTGACCAATGATAAAACATTTTGCCACGACTGCGTATGTGCAGTATATAAGACCTTCTCCCCTTCACGTACCAGTTAGACATGAAACAGAGTTGATGGAGTCCAGTTTGAGTAACAGATATATTAGTTTGAAGGATTTTCAGATGCTCTACAGTCGTTTGTAATATTATGAGTCAGGATTTGGAAACTTACCACGGCTGCAATTATTAAATTTTTCGTCATAATTTTCAAAGTGCATGCACATATTAGCCACAGCAGCACGTTGCTGGATGATTGCATCTTGAGAAAGGTCCAGTTTCATTATTTCCTTTTTTGCCAGATGACCCTGCGTGCGTTTTCAGCCTGGAGCCCTTTGCATCGACACCTCGCTGGGCTGCTGTTGTGGTCCCATTCAAATAACGGAATTTTTTCCTCATTGCTGTCTGTCTGACAACAGCTTAGGAAAAAGCTTTTGTAACAAACAGCCCTGGGGGGTCCTAACCACTTAAGAGCTCCCACTAATCATAGTTTTAGGAACCATGGAATACTTTTTTTGACACAAATAACACATCACCTATAGCTTACTGTAAATCTGTCACAAAGATTTGACACAATTAAAATCAGCAGAATCATAATTAATTCCTTCCATTGGCTTCATGTGTCATTGATGAGCAACAATTATTGTCATTATTATAACTGTAAATGCTGTATGAAAAGGTAATTTTTTGTTGCTGTCAACTTACAGCTGACACAAATAAAATAAAAAACATACTGCATTTGAAGTCCTGGCAAGATATACATTTAGCATGCATTATTTTCTGAGGGAAAAAGGAAAAACTTTGTTTTCAGCTTAAAGACTATGAAAAGTTTCCATGAGGAGCACATGTGAGTTGTGTGGTAAAGCATGGTGGCATTTTTTATAGAATGGTTAATGCACTGTTGCTAAGTTCAGACATATAATTGCTGTGCATATTAGGAGGGCGTTTTGCACATTGCTTTTCTATATTAATGCTTTTTGTGATAAATACCTGGAATGGTGTCTCTTTGAAAATGAATACTAACTTTGTGCTGTGCAGTTAATTTGCAAACTTTATCGTTCAAGTGTTTGGCATTCAAGGACGATGCTTGTACATCTCTTGATGGAGCACTTTTATTTTTAGCTCACTTTCTCATTTTGCCATCTGTCTTTGTTTACAGCTGTTCTCACCAAATAAATAATTCCAACCTTGAGTCTGTTCAACAAATTGGAATCAAGGAAAATGTGTTTCTTTCCTCACAAAAGACAAAAAAGAAGAAAGTGGAGAACTTTATAAATCAAACAGGTTAGGTTAACCACCAGGGCAAAAGTGTTCGAAATGAAATCGAAAAGTTAAGCCAAGTTCTGACTCCAACTGCTGAACTGCTCGTGTAAATATATGGTTGAAAAAAACGTGTTCCATTGCTGTGCTTTTCTGAGCACAGCTGGTGACAATGACTGGCTGTGTGAAAAGCTCCTTGAGGAGGAGAGGAGTGGTGAAAGGACATCCTGCCCAAACTCCCCTCACATCCTCCCTACCACTGCCAGCCAACATTTTGCTGGCATGCGTCTGAACAGCTCTGCAGATCCATGTTGCTGGCTTGTGTTACAGCGCTGCGGTTGGGGAATTGTTGTCAGCACACACAAATCTTAAGGGGTGGCCCTGTAGTGTCCTATTATCATCATACAGTGCCAGACAGGAACAGCATGTTCTCTTGCACCCCATCTCGTCTCTTGTCATGTCGCATATGTCCAGTGGTCCTGCCCTCCATTTAAAGGTTACAGAGGTTGAAGATGAGATAGTTTTGTATACTAAAGGCTGTCAATGTGATTGCCAAACTGCGCTTAATTTTAGGATGGCCTCGACTCTGCTGTATTCAGTATTTCTGAGTTTATTTCCTTTTTCAGTGCTGAGCTTACCAAAAAATACAAAGCGTACATTTACTTTCTTACTATGCCAAGACTAGAATAAAAAAAATATATAAATATATATATGACATGAGGTCTATCCATCACAACACATGCATCCAATCATAAGTCATCCTGCATTACAGTATGTGCTCGTTTCTTGTCTTTTTCTCTTCTCTCTATAGCTGTTGTTGTCAGAATGGCTGAAAGCACGAAGCCAAGGTCACTGGTCTCTGACTTACAGTAAGGCGGGGTATTGAATCCAGCAGTTTTATTGCTTCTTTGGCTCGCAGTTTCTGTTTGATTTCAGACATTTTGGACTCCCTGTGAATGACTTTGCCCTCACTCCCATTTTTACCCATTACCAGTGCTGTTATCCTTTTTACACATTTTTAGAAACACTTTTTGAGAGTCATTGTGCAGAAATGAATGGGCCAACCAGCTAAATTGAAGGATAAAATTGGTGATATTCTCTTGCTTTATTCGAAGAAATCTTTGTTATTGGTATTGTTAACAAATCCCATGAAAAGACCAAAATCAACAATGAATGAATCCAACAAGCATTGTCTGTGTATCAACAGCCCGATTTGGCTTATTCCTCTGTGTCACACAGCTCCATTTCTAAAACTTGAGAGGTCCATCTATTCCTTTAATATTGGCGAGTCCCATCTGATGTGCACTTAAATATTGACTAAACATGTAGCTGCACCATTGAACTGACTGCTGCAGCTACTAAATCTGACACACCTCATTTTTTTATCTATCTATATTTTATTATCTGTCCAAGTGCCATAACAACATGCCACAACCCACACAATGTATTCATTAAGTGTATTTATCTCAACAAATACACTATTTACTCATGTTTGAGTGACATTTACTAAAAACTACAGTGGCCAGCTGTTTTAGCAAATAACTGAGCCTTTTTGAACAGGAAGCAATAGATGACCCATATTTATTTGGGGCTGAGAGCTTAAGACAGGGTTGGGAAACCACTGTGTATTTGGAAAATATTGAGAGACAGACTGTTGTTTTGGTCTTCTCATGGGACTTATAATAAGAACAATATGTTTCTGTCCCCACAGTAATGTTGTAGAAACCACAAACAGTGTGTCAGCCAGGCTCTATGGTTCTTTTGGAGGGTCTTTGTCGTGCCACCACATCCCTTGTGGCACTGTGAGTGCTCAGACCACAACAGTGACATGGAGTGGAGCCCCACTGTCCTCCTGCAGGGATAATAAAATGGGTTGCCTCAGTGGGGACAATGCCACTGCTGCACATCCCACCACTGTCATATAAACATAATATTGTGTCATGCCACTGACATTGACAGACCCAGTATGATTCTGGATTAAAGCAGGTTTCCATATTTTCTATCAGCAGGGAGAGGGACTTCTATACTCATTTACATGTACTCATCTGAATAATAATTACGTTCTGGTAAGATCTCATGGTGGGCAACTTATACAGGTAACACAGGATCATTTCAGCATGATGAATCTCTCCTTTACTTCACTTTCTTATGGTTCTTACATCACTGTAGATTTTTAAATGAATGTCAGTTTTTTAATATTTGGCATTTTTATTACTCGGTGCTTGTAAAGTAAATATATAAATCCATATTTAGAATATCGTAAAACACTAGCAATATGAAGCTTATTATAAATTACTGAAGGTAAGAGAGTTTTAATTTATGTAGTGATTATGTAAAATCAAGATTTACTTTCAGTTTAACAAAACATTTTACAACCTGTAGTCGGCAGAATGCACTTGTTTTGGTTCATCTAATGGCTGGACTGGATCATAACTCATTCCAAGCATGGTTCAGGTTCAGAGTTAGAAGTATTTACCGCTGAAATTTTCATTTTAGGAAGGAATACATGGCAATTCTGTCTACTTCACAACAATATTGAGAGGTACTTGTTTTACACATTTGATGCCATTTTACACTCAGAGGGCCACTAAAATGGCAAAATATCGAACATGCTGCCAGTGAGTTTCGCACTCGCATGCTGTTGATAATTTAGGACAATTATGTTACATTATGAGATGTATATCACTCCCATAGATTATATTTTAGACAGAGGGCGAACATATGGAATATCAGTTCTGTTGCAGCACAACTGCGAGTTTTAGAAACCTGCCTAATGTAATTTGAGCAGCACTCACACACAGACACACAGTCTTCTACAAATGCACCACCATGCCACTTGGAGTCCTTCGACCAGGCTTTATTTTGGCAGGTCTTCCTGCCTCCTGTGTGGTCACTGTCCACACTGCGTGCCATCGAACTCCCACATCCTAATGACCTGCTTTTAGTCTCGGTTGGTGTGTAGAGACTTGTTATTCCAGGTCACGTCCTTAACCTGTACCCACCTCAACTTCCCATAACCCCGGGGATTCACCTTTACAGGAGGAGTGAGGGAAGAAGTGTCTTTACACTCATTATTCCCTCCAGTCCATCCTATTAAAGTAACACAAGCTCAAACAACCTTCAGCTGGCCAAGCTGCAAATGACTGTCAGAAACCTAGTCAGCTCTGCACATGCAAATATAACATTTGTGTAGATTTCTGGTTTAAAACCTTTTTTCTGCATTCTGACTGTAAGAAGAATATAACAAATGACAATAATTTATCTTATATTACGGTTGACTGCATTAACTTATTGGACTACGAGTAGGGTAGAGGTTTTCTGGCAGAGGGTTTTAATAAATTGTTTTCATGATGAAGTTTTCCCTAAGCGACAGATGATATAGATGACTGATAATCAGTATATTGGTGTTTGTGGCCAATAAATACAACTCTTTCAGCCGAGGATACTTTTTTAAATCACCGTGGTTATCAGACAGATGGCTGACTGTCATCTGCATTAAAATGTAATATTGTGTTGATAAATTATTCATCACAGAGTAAGCATTTAAATTGAGAACAGGACCAGACTTTAGCTGCAGGGTATGCCACAAATCTTTTTGACTGCACTGAGGTATCCTGTGACACCTTTTGTTAACAAACACAATTATGTTTACATTTATTATTTTCATCAACATGCATTAGAGTCCCTTTGACAAAAACATTCTCACTGACACAGCGAAGCTTTTTATAAATAGTGGAGACAAACAAGGTGGAATTAAACTCTCACAGACAATATTATCACAGAGTTACAGTTTGAAAGTGAATAAATAAACAACACCATGAAATGCAATCAATATGTCTACTGATTCATCATTTTGAACAATATATGCAGGTGTTATATACCAGTATTACATATTGAATTGCGCACTAAATTGAACAAGATGATAATTGTGTTTTTTTTGTTAACAAACATTTTATTGTATCTTTTATTGGTGATTTGCTGAAAGAAAAAGACAAAGAAACGGGCATAATTCAAGGTTAGAATACAGATTACACAACACTGGGACCCAGTTTATTCATATGGACACTTGATAAAGCTTCAGAAAACCGGTTTAGATTTTAGTTTAGTCTAAGTGGGTGTTACAAATTGATCCATTTATGAGGATACATCTTCATTTGCAGTGAAATAAATCCTCAAGTTCTTTGATCTCTCCATGATGGTTGTTTTTTTAGGCTCCTTATGGCCCTTTTTATCTGTGGGTATTTTTAACATTTTGTTTGTGTGTGTCAGCCTTCCAGAGGTTTTTGGGGAAGAAGGATGTGTCCCAGGAGTTGGAAGAAGTCCATGCGGAGGCTCGAGCTCAGGACAACCTACATAGTGCCTCTGTGTTACAGCTGCTGAAGACCCCAGCTGTTCGCTGGCAGCTCATCACCATCATCATCACCATGGCCTGCTATCAGCTCTGTGGCCTCAATGCTGTAAGAGGCAGCTTTTATTTCTTTTTTCTCAGCTTGTCAGTGGACTCTGTTCTTTATTCTATCATAGAGCGCATTATAGTTAGGACACATTATTATTATTATTTTTATTATATTTTCAATTAAAAAGCATAGACTAATGCATTTGGGTACAAATCGAATTATAAATATACACCAATTGTGTGGCAAACATTTGGTTTATCAGCCAGATAATTCCTTGAAGAAGCTGTGTCACACCTCCAGTCACACCTCAACATTGTCAGTTTTAGGCCTTGGTAGACAGATTTACCAAGTGCCATTGCAGTAAAGCATTTCCAACTCTCTCACACAGTCACAAGGCATGTAGGGCTGTTTGGCGAAAAGAATGACAGGACTGGTGGTTGATTCAGAAATGCCTGGGTGTGCTGTCCTATCACAGTCCTATCAGTGACAAAAAAAATCAATAACGCAGCCCTGCTTGTCAGTGGATCAGGTGTAGTAGCATATTGCAAACAGGGTCCCCCCGAGTCAATGCATGCACAGGTGTGACCCCATAATTGTGTTCTCTTTTAAAAATAAGTTGTTTTTAAAAGGCTATTTTTTAAACACGGCGGTTCAAAAACATAATGATTGCTATATTCAGGTAAATATACACTAATGAAAACGAGTTATATATATTATATTTAATTTATGCCAACAGATCCTCCTAAATGGTAAAGTATGAAAACACACTTGTTCTTTGACTGACATATTGTAGGCTGTCTGCAATGTATTCAAATTGATTGTTAGCTTGTCTCCAAATTCATATTCAGGATGAATATACAAAATGAAAAGTTTGATTTTTTTTATGATGAAACTTGATAGGTTGATTGACTTTTCAATATTATAATGCAAAGCTAGAAATCACAAAGCTCCTCTGGTTATTATAGATATGAACATGACTTCATTTACATACATTTTCATTCCAAGAAGACAGGAATGTAATTTAAATCACTCTGGAGGTTTTTATTTTTGTCAGAGAATGACTTGTTGGGGCTTATTTTGCTTCTATGAAACTGAGTCCTGATGCTAAAGTTGACAGGTGAGAAAGATTCCTGCAACCAGAGTCACAGTCTCAGTGCTTCAGCTCGTAAAAATTCACAATTTCTGACAATTTCCTTCTGTTTTGAATTGTCGTTACCTGTCAAAAGGACCACCAGAGAGAATAGTGCAGGCAATAAGTTAGAAGGGAGAATGTGGAGAAAAATGACAAAAATATGCACAATCATGTTGCTTTTCAAGAACGCGGCATCTCGAAACTCCCTCTTTGATTTCAGGATGTTAAATTCAAAGAGGTATGTTTTCATGTTTTTTAAAAAGGGTAATGGTACTGGCAATGGTAAAAGTAGTCCACCTGTCATCACAAAATGATGTAATTTTCTGGAGTTGGAACCTGACACAGCCCAACGTCAGCGTTTCTTTTTGCATCATGTTTACACAGGCTGTGTAAAAGGCAGCACGCCAGCAACAGAACCTTCACTTAATTCAGTGTCTATGCAGGATGTGTTCAGGCACAGTTCTTCTGTGGTGTCATACCTGTGTTTGGGAAGCACAACACTCACTGTAGTTACATGCATAAAACACAAGTAAATAGACTTGAAGCCTTAAGAGATGCCTCTGAATGATTAAAACAGACTTGTATCTGTTCTGTAATACATGTGAGACTGATGAATGAAAAACGGTGCTCAAAAACACCTCAAGCGAAGACATATCATACCTTGTCATGACGGTTAGCAGCTAACATGAATTTATCCATGTCTTTTGTGTTTATTTAAATTTATGTCTATAACATATGAAAATGCAATGGAATTGATTTGGTTTTCGTAGATCTGGTACTACACCAATGGGATCCTTCGTGAAGCAGGCTTTGCCGAGAACATTCTTCCCTACATCACACTGAGCACTGGGGCTATAGAGACTTTGGCTGCCATCATCTCGGTGAGTACTGATGCTTTAAATCAACCAAACATGCCTGGTTCTGGGCATGAGGCTGTTCACAAGGTATGTTTTATCTGGCATTGAAATCCTCTCCAGTCTTCATGCTGTTTTTCAACTGTTTTCTCTCTGGACCAAAGCTATCAGTGGTTTGAGTTTAATATCAGACTCTTTTTAATCTTAGATTATTGTCTGTAAAAGTATTAGCAATCTCTATGTATGTATGCTTCCATAAGTATGAAATTAATAACTTTATACAACTGTATAAATACGCAGTAGTTGACAGTGAAATACCAATGTGAAAAGTAAGAGTTTGGTGGTTGTGGTGTATGGATTATCTTCAGTAAAAACTGTACATAGAAAGACTTTAATTTTGCCATTTTAGAGAGGTTTTGCTAATCTGACACCAAAATTATCCTTTTATAAATCAAATTCATTAATTCTAAAGCTCTTGACCAAACTTGGTTGATATGGATGACTTTTGCATCAAACATCATCAGCTCAGTTTGTCTTCAGATGTCTTACCTTCAACAGTAGGGGGTAAGATTTACTGTTGTTATCTCTATCACATCTTCCGTTCTCAACAAATTGTTTAAAAAAAGTTTGCTGTATTTAGTGTAAGAGCTGTTAACCATCTACTGATAGTAGTATGCTATTGATCCAGATTACACTGAATGCACTATGTAGAACTCTGCAGTCTGTGTCAACTCACACAATAACTACATTGCCATGATTTTCTCATGAACAATGATCTTTTTTGACCACAGGAATAGATATTTTTAAGGAACCTTTTCTGTATGTTGAACGATACATGTGCAATTTAAGTTATGCCAGTTCCAGCCAGGCTCTGTATATTTAAGGTATATTCACACTTGTAGTTTGGTTCATTTGTTTTGAAGCAAGGTAAAAAATAATACATTGTAGAATTTTAGTTCTTGTCAGGTTAATGTTTACACTGACATTTTACTAACGAACCAAGGGAGTAGACTGACATGTCATTTAGACTGACAAGTAATTTCTTGATTGGACAGTTTTGTTGAAAATCTAATTCTGGTGACTGACAGAAGTTTTTTCAGCACTGATTTATGTTTTTTATTAAGAAATATTTGGTATTTTTAGACTTGACTTGACTAAATCAACTGTGTTTGAATAATGACGAGAAGGTACGATCAAAGGAGGCGTCATGTAGGCTACACTAATGATTGGGGCCTTATTACACTTTTTAATGAACCTAATGAATGGAAAAAGTACACAGAGTAGGATACAAGTGCAGCAGTTTTAACAACTTTTGATGTATTAATTAATACCCAAACTGATCAGCATATAAATAATATTAACCAAATAATTTACATAACTATATACATGATTTATAGCCTATAGATTGATTATGAGATCAGTTCAGTTCCTGAACAGATTTTACAATCAGCAGATGGGTCTATTTGTAATTTAGCTTTTGAAATCATGCTAAAATCACATTTCTTCTATCATAAAGTCCTGTGGTTGGTTTGTGAAACAAGCCTTTTTTGGTGATCTCGGCTTGCTTGCCGCATCCGAGTGCAATTTCTGTGTTTACGTATGCCTCACAACTGCTACAACTTGTGTACAGAGTTAGTTTAGACTGCAATATTTGAATATGGTTTTCACGGATGTTTAATTTACACTTATGTTAAACCTGCATTAATAGATTTTGTTTGGCCACTTGGGGGCAGCTCAACATGCTGACCTTATAAAGTTGATTTTGCAATCGTACAAATAAGGAAACTGTGGCTTATTTACACATCCAGCAGACACAGAGAAACATCAGCATTCATTTGTCGTTGTATTTCAACCTGACAGTACACAATAAGTTTAGCATTCACTCTCCTTTTAACTCTGCTTTGGTCTATACCAACCTTGATGCAACAGCTTTATGACGTCACACAGTTTGGTCTTTTGAACCGCGCGTCTTCAAATCCCACCAAAAGCATTTCAGAAGCAGAGAACCTTCAGTATTGCCTGCCTGGCATTGTTAACTCGTTATATTTTGTCCTTAAAAAGGATTCAAAATGGTGTGTTTCTCCATTGTTCATTGTGTCAAATCTCTTCTGACCTGCCTCTGACTGATTGGTCTGGCTTGGTGCCACAATGTTGATATAACATGAAATTTGTTTCCTGTGTCAATGCTATCTGCTCTGTGCTGCTTGATGTGGGTGGGTCGCGGCTTCCATCGAAAAAAAAAACAAACTCTGGGGCTCTTTAGTTCCTTGGACGTTTTGATCAAAACATGCACATAATTAAACAGTTTAATAACCCTATATGAACTAGGATGAATTTCTGTGCATCAAGTATACTTTTCAAACAAAAGCTCAGTAGAAAATGTAGTGGGAAATACACATCTCTCTTCATTTAATTAGAGAGTTAACGCCGTGCTTGGGCCGATACCTATTTCTGTGATTCCTCTCAGCGCAAACACATTAAAGCTGATCTTTGATCTGCAGCAGTGAAAAGACCCCATTGAGTGACTTAGCTGCCAGATGACTAACTTCAAACACCAGCATGTACCCCTCAGATACTAGTTTTCTATCCGGCCCTACAGCATTTACCCGTCAGCTACAGCCAACTCACCCAAAAACGCCTTTGATGGACACCACCCTTTTTATACTGCTGATAATAATGAGCCTCTGGCTGCTGACTGGAGTATACAAAGGAGATAAAAAATTCTCAAATATCAGTTGTAAGGCTGCATGCTAGCTGTCTAACAAATTACATGTCCTATATTTATAGTATGACGGATGCCTTATAGCTTAAAAAAACAACTTTATTTGATTTTTGCTTACTTTTATCCAAGGTGATTTTTTAATATAACTAACAAGATGCTATAGCTATAATCTGTACAAGGTTTGCTGTGTAACAGTATCTCAAGCACTTTCAGGAAGAAGCAAAAACTTACAAGAAAGAATTTCTTTTGGGGAAAAGCAGATTATCTTTCTTTTTGAAAGCAACCTCAAGAGTTTTACGGGCCTGTGTTAATATTTTATTGCTACTGAACAGAAACCATTTGTTTGAGCCTCATGTTCACAACCAGGGACTCTTTGACATCCGATGAGAAAGATGAATTTTATTTGTGGTTTCAGGAGCTTCAAATATTTTTGACATTTTAATCAAAGTCTACACCTGGCCTTAAGATGCAACCTTTTTTATTTAGGCAGTAAACATAGCAAAGGTCAGGTTTAATCCCCAAATCCTGTGATATGTGCTTCAAATTAAATACACCACAGGGGGCATTTAGCTGTATTTCTGTTTCATTAGTAACGACGCACAACACAACTACCAACACACCAACCATAATTTCTTACATATCATGCATATCATTTTCATATTCCTAATCAAGAAGGAGAAGAAATACCCACAATAGAAAGGTCAATGCTGCAAAATCAATGCTTGTCTGTCAACACTGGAATTCTGTGAGGATTTTTGCAATTTGCAGTTTGGTCTTAATGAGTTTTGGGAGTGCCCATGCACCATCTTTCCTGGTATGCTCCATAGAGAAATTACGATTTGTGATGTGTAAAGATGTGTGAAAGTGAGAATTTAATGCGACATTTTATATTATTTGGAGGTAAGAAATTGTTTGGACCCACATTATCCAATGTCCTTTATACAGAACAAGATAGAGGTTTAAACTAAACTAATACTAAATGATTTATTTTACATAAGTACATCCATTCAGCAGTGAACACGTTATCTACTGGAATTATTAATAAATCGTCTTTTTTAGTTAATGTATCTGACAGCACTTCCCACTGACCCACTAATCTCCTATCATATATGGTATGGCGTTGCATATACTAACTCACATTCAGTGCTTGCATGGCATGTTTAGCCACTCCTATATGACAGTCATAAGGTCCCTTTGAATGGTTGTAGAAATATGAGTGTATTTGGGTAACTTTCTGTGAATGTGAATGTACCTATGTGGTGTTAGTGGTGAAGCAATGATACTGGAGGTATTTTTTTTATAATTTTGATGCATGTCAAAAAAGAATAAAAGGGCACATTTAACGTCTTTTATTCAACTCATGTGTGACTGGTGTCATCCAGTTTGTTACTATGTCCCACGATCACAGAAAATAACATTACACAGAATATCTGACTGACATAAACAGGCCATAATGTCCTTAACGGGTCTTTGTAAAAATTGGCTAACTGTATGTGATAATTGGTTGAAATTTCATGCTTTAATTCAATAACCCCCCATACAGAGTGTAATGTCATTGAACTGTAAAAATAGGCAATGGTTGTCCTCAGACCAGGACAATCAAAAGTGTTATCTCCTCCAAAGCTAATTTAACACCTTCAGTCTATTAAGGGAATCTCATAGTTGCTAGTGGCAATTTTGCACCTCCAATACAAGGACATCAGTTTTTTGTTGTGGGTCACTTTAGCTGGTGGAATCGTTCGACTTCTCTTCATTATCACAGGACTGTGGCATGTAGTGCACAGGTTCTTAATAGAGGAAACTGTTCATAATGGACACTTGAAATGTGTTTGTCTGCAGTGACAGCACTATGGCACACTGGCAACCTGTTTCCACTGCTCTAACAATGCGTGCTAGGATAGGCTGATAAGTGACACTGAACAAAATAAGTGGGTGTAGAAAATATACGGGATGGATGGATGAGTCCAGTCCAGGCTTTTTTATTGAATTATTGTATTTTTCAGTTATCATTTATGAGAAAACTGACTGTGGAAGCGACAGGAAACTGTATGCATTTGAGAAACAGTGATATCCAGGTGGCCCAGCACCTACCATCCAACCCCATTCAGACCCAGAGTGAAACAGATTTTTTCCCCCCAGCGTTTCCCCCCCTCGTGCATCATATTTACAGGGTTTCACATAACCAGAACATCATATATTGTGTAACTATATGAATTTCTTTCTCACATATCTGCTGTACCCTTGTATCTTTGTAAAAGTGCTGCTGTTAATGACCCTTGACAGACTCAGGACAAGAGTTGAGGCTTTTGTCACAGTAGGGACGAGGTTTAGGAATAATCTCCCCCATTATTTGAGATTGGCTGGACTCTTAAGGTGCACACCGATTGAACACAAAGCAAATTTACACTCGACTTTGTAAGAGTGTTTGCATGCGACAGAGGGATTTTAAAACTTACGACTATCAACTCCAGTTGTTTCTCTTATTTTTTCTTCCAGGCCCTCTCTCTTTGTGCTCCCATCTCTGTGCGTTTGTGGAGTGACATCATACAGCTCGAAATAATCTGGGATTTTCTTATTGGTGTTAAGATGTTTACAAGTCGAGCACCACCACCACAATTCACGCTGCCTGGAGTGAAGTTTTATCCGTTCACGTCCCCTCGCATCTGTTCATATCTTTCCATTGGCTTAGTATGCTTTCATGCTGCCTTTAAATTTTGCATCTCATTAAATCCTAATGCATCATTAAGCATCAAGCAAAGACTTGTTTATTCTGCATTTTATTAAGCTCTGTTTAATTAATTCATTCTGTGTTATATCATCTTTCTTCTGATCTTATCACAGCTATTTTAAAATCTTTAAGAAAAACATTATGAAAAAGAAAAAAAAACAATGTCACAATGTATGATAACTTAATGCAACATGCTATCCACTGAGCTCCTTCCTCCTTTTCTAGTGCCCTACTGAGCCATCGACCTTTCACTGCGGCACACTTGTCACTATACGGCTGGCTAACACACAAGAATTGTGGAGTGTGTGCCACCCCGCATTAAATCACACACGTCCGGCCATGTCGTCATACTCAGTAGCCCTTTGACAAATTAAAGTATAAACACAAACAAATCATCACGGAATACAAAAGCTGATCATATTGTATCGTAGCAAGGAAGCATTTAAAATAAAGTAATATAGATAGATAGATAGAGTGGAGTAGATAGATTGAGATAGCATAGATAGATGTAGAGGTGATAGAGTTAGCAGTAATAGATAGATTGGTATTGACGTTCTCACAGTGGTGTTATGAGCAATATAGTACCATGGCGGTAGATGGTTGGATGCCTATAAGTAGCAGATGATTTTAGGGCCACGCCGTGGCATTGCTATGCCATGAAACTCTTGAAAGCAGGTATCGTTAGTTTGGAGCATATGTGGTCATGAAAACCAATTTGAAGACACACAGTTGCTCATATGGAAGCGCGAAGACAGAGCCGAACTTGCGATTAATTTTTATGACTGCCCGTTAATTGAAGACCGACAAAGAGTGGCATTGCCAGCGATGCATAGGATGGCGCTTTATAGAATTTAGAACAGAATGAAAATGACAGGCAACTTGCCGAATTGCTATATTTCACTTTCATTACTGACCAAAAAAAAAAGCCAGCAGCTAAAAAAAACTGCCGATGGATAGACAATCGCAGTCTTCTCCGTGGATAGTATTGGTCCCAAAGGTAAAAAATTGGTCATCATGTGGCATGATCTAATAGCTGCTAACTTTAACGCCGTCTTTCAGTCGTGTTTGAAGTCCCCCGTGACAGATGACAGGTGGCCGTTTGAAGCCTCAAATGGTGTGATCAAATGAACCACCTCCTTTTCGAGTTTTCCATAATCTTTGTTTTTGTCCTAAGAAAGCAAAAGTTGTTTTCTCATTATACATTTTTGTTATCTTGAGGAACTGACCTTTTGTTTACTTGAGATGTCTCGTGAGATAAAGGCATTAGAACCACAAGCACACCCATTCTCAACTTCTGTACATTTAAGCTTATAGTGGAGTGTACTCAGAATGTAATCAACAGCCTTCATAGAAGCAAGGCTTCACACTGTAACACACACATCTTTTTCTTTTTCTCAGGTCTTATTTCTTATTGGTAATAACAAACACATTCTTACAGTTGATAGACACTTCACTTTTGTCCTCGCTCTTTACCATACCGGCTCATACACACACACGCCACACACACACAGCGACACAGCACACACACAGCGGTAGGCATAAATATTCAGCCTCTTACACCTTCAGGAGACTTAATGAGCTGCGGGCTTTTGTTGCGTGGTTTGGGTTGGGTGTGGTGGGTGTAGTTGTATGTGCATTTGTCGGTGCTGCGGAGCGGTATGGTCTGGGGGAGGGAAAAGACATCCTTCATGCCTTCGGTACAGTGAGATGGGTGCGTGCGAGATTCCAGTCACATCACAGCAGCACCGCACACGACACACCACACACACACACACACACAGTGAATTCCAAAGCTTTTGGAGGCAATCCAAATCTAAAGCCAATTCGTTCTGTGGCATAACAAGCTCAAAATAAGAAAAATGTAGCCTTTGTGGACTGTGAAGTGTTGTATCTGCACTCCACTATACCACACATATTAACACATAGAAAAAAACACTACATGTTATCTTATCTTCCACCCTTTTGCACTCAGAAGCCCCTCACTATAGGGATATATACTGTACAAATACCAGAGACCTTTTTCCACAACCTTGTGAAATCCCACTGCTTAGGCGAGTTGCGGGTAGTGGCTTTAATACTTAAGTGCTCTGAGGCCATGATGGAGGAAGGCCTGCTGCTGCGGTGAGGGGTTTGCTTTGGGCTCTGTCTGGGCTTGAAGGTTGCCATGAATGTGTCTGGCCTCCAGCTCTCAAAGTGACCCAAGTAGAAGGACATCTGAGTGGAAATAGAAAAGTGCCCATGGAATTATTGATGAGCGACATGCAGCATTGTGTATGATTAAATCTGTGAGTCACTGTATGTGTATCATGATGCATTATGTAGAGGCCATTCTCTACCACCTCTTCTTTCTTCTACCCTCATCTTCCAGTAGAATTTACTGTTGGTTTGAAGGGTTAAGCAAATAGGTGTGATACACTGCCTCCGTCTTCAGCAAATCTTTGCTTTCAAATTAGTTTTCATTTTTGTTTCCTGAACTGTCATGTTCAATAATGCTACCATATGGTGCACACAGTATGATCTTGAAAGCTGAGAAAATGCACAAAATCTCAAATAGATGGTAACATATTGATCAGACATTTTTCATCTGCTATGTAATTTGCCTCTAGTGTGGTAACAAAAAGGTTTATGATCGCACAGAAACTGTACAGAAACCACTTAAAATGCTTATTATATTATACCAGGTTTTCTTGTCTTGTCCACAGGGCTTAGTGATAGAACGGATTGGGAGGAAGCCCCTCCTAATATTTGGTTTCTCTGCAATGGCCGTGTTCTTCAGTCTACTCACAGTGTTCCTCAATTTCCAGGTAAGCTGCACTTCCTTCTCTTCATTGACCTCATTCTAGACATACTTTAAGTGAAAAGGTGCCTCAATTCACATCGGTGCTCTGTACTGCTGCCCAATTACACTGTGAACAAAATGCCATCAGTATTCCTACTCTGAGGGAATGAGGTTATTATACCTCTGCAAAATAGAATGTCTGCCAACTTCAAAACATATATGACATTGGACATATCGTGATCAGCAGAACAACAAACAATGAAAAATAATTTTAGTATCATACAAAGGTATCGATTTTTTCTAAATTTATTTGGTGCTGTTTGCTGCTTAAAACAACAAAATAAAATAAAGGAAGTAGCTGTTAATTATTCATATCCCCAATATATTTACTGTGATATTCCTGCTCCGAACTGAATATAATATCATCTCTCTCACTCTCTTATCACAGGACAGTGTGTCATGGATGCCCTACCTCAGCTACATCTGTATACTGGCTGTGATTGCGTCCTTTTGCTCTGGGCCAGGTAAAACTACTGACCTACATTACAGGCTGAGATGTTCTCCTTTTTACCTACTTTCTCTTTTTTGATTTCATATTTACAGGCCTCACTGAATGCTCCACTTTACTTAAAGCTGCACTTAAAAGAGATTGAATAAATACGCAGCAGATTTTGTCATTCATATTTGCCTGTAATTCAGTGGAGTAGTTGTTGAATAATCAATGTGAGCAACCTAACTCTAGTCCTCACTTTTTAAACTAGAGATGGAGCTGTGTTTGCAGTACTTTTTGTACTACTTGGAATAATCAGCCGACTAGTGTGTTAGTAATAAGAATCCCAGTTGAAGGTGCTGTCATATATTAGCATACTAAAAATGAGCCATACAGTATACTGTATACGGCATGGCACTGCAAATGCACAGGGGACAGTTTGAGTGTGCACAGTTGGTCTTGGTGGGAGGTTGACTTTCAGTTTCAAGGTGAGGCTATCGCTGTCATCACACATATACATCCCTTCGGAATAATAATATCTCCAGGGAAAGTTAAGTGCCTCAGTGTATCAGGATGAGATGAGAACAGCAGAGTAAGTAAGAAAAAATAAAATAAAATAACATTGAAAAATACAGAATAGTAGCAGAAGCACGTCTGATTTTCCTAACCAAGAGACCATGCTCTTTGATAATCAGATGAAAAAAAAGACATAAACCAGTGAAGTCTGCAGGCTGCACAGCCCTTTTACTGTCCTCCACTGTAGATTTTGATCGCTCAGTGCCTTGCTCAGGGCAACTTCTGTGTTAATTGTCGAGGAAAGAGACATACCTTCTTATTTTTTTCCACCGCACAGAAATGATTTATGGTCTATTGAAACAACTGACGCCCCTCACTTCTTAGGAATGGTGAATGACTGGGAGGGGTAGACAAGAAAATTCACTTGAGGGTTGACCCCAGTAGTGCTCAGAGCGTGTGAGTGGATAAACGAGGAGCCACAATTCAACTCCAGTCATTTCACCATGGAAACAGTGGCCCAGATATTTCAAAGTTTGACAAAACACAAAGATTATGTGTCTTTGTAACAGCGAAAAAGGGCGAGTTTAGTTTTTCATATGATGAGTTAAAGGGCAACTCCAACTATCCATTTTCATCTATCTGCACATTCTGGAGGGACTATCTCTGTGTTTAACTACAAATAGCGATAGAGATGAAACCCTGTCAATATTGTGTGAGATTAGTCATATTGTGATAGAGATCTTTCTAAACAACCAATGACCTGAAACAATATTTAGAGAAGGTAGTTTCACTTTCCAATTGGAAAGTGTGGCTTCAGTGTCAGTCTGTGGATGATCAAAGGACGTTCACTTGTCAGAGGTGGAGAGCTTGGTTTGCTAAATCCTCTCATTATTTGTGACTACCTGGGTTGTTTTGTAACCAAGATGCAATTCGCCTCATTAAACTGCAGTATGAGGCGCGTATGGACGGTAGGCCCAACGGCAGCATATATGATGAAAGATTAAGAATCATTCCTATGTCTTTGCACACTTAGCTACATGCTTTACAATGTATAATTAAATGATATAAAATGGTCAGGTTTGTTTGTCTTTCTGCCTTTCTTTTCTCCTTCATTCACAATTTTCCAGAACAATAGCCAGAGCATATAAAATGAAATGTAGTGAAAATATAAATGGTGCTGATAGAGCAGTTGGACTGGGGTCTGTGGGGGCACTTGCTCTCACTGTGAGGAGAAGCTATAATCCCAGAATCAAACTGGATGTGCACCCTTGTTTGTTCTAAAGTGGTCTATTATAATAATCCTAGATTGAAATAGGTTAGATTAAAATCTTGATGCTGAAAAGTGTAATTTACTGCAAGTAGTTACGCTTTGCAGGAGTCAGGTCTACAGCAAAGATTGAGAAGTTGTTTTGGGTTGTGTGAAAGCTTTGTTGCTTATTTGAATCTGTCACTATAAAAGTAGAAAAATGCACCAGCATGTGTTTTGGTTTGATACCACAGAGTTTAATATAAGATGCAAACATGAAATGAAATGTGGAGCATCTACAGAGCCAGCTGCGTTGTATGTATTTATACTCCACCACACAGACGGATATATGATATATAGTTGATTTATGAATTTAATTTAGGTTTAATGAATCAGGTCAAGTCTGTCTTTTAAGATAAAGTATGTCCAGTACAATAGAGCAGAGTTGGAATAGTTTATATTCTGAACAAGAGTTGTTTGCATGTGGTGTAGTTGCATACAGTACACAATGTTCCTCACTATCCATTTAACACAACTGTGTTAAGTGCCAGGTGTGAACTCCTGTCTTTCAAATCTCAAATTTTTGACACAGCCGACATCTCCACGTGCTGCTCAGAGCAGCCATTTCTGATTAAAATCCATGCACATCTGATTGTTACCTGCGCTGCCTACTTATTATTACTTTCTACGCATTGCTGTTCTCACGCACTTAATATAGATCCACATGCAATAAAATACTTATATTTAATATATTTTACCCATATGAGCAATTCAGTTCTCGAAAAAATCATATGTGATGAGATTTATTTTCTGTTAGTAATTTCTGTCACAGATTTACATGTATTTTCACATATGAAACCCTTACCTACTAGCTCGGGCCATGAGCATACATTGTAAAAACAATACAATGGCAATGGGGGAGCTCCCTACGTATGTCAACAACCTATATATAATAATCAGTACATGACATACATCAGCAATAACCTAATTTTACGCATGGTGAATGAAGAAAAAAATACAGGAAAAGAGAATTAAATGGGACAATTGCAAATTGTCAATATTTTAGGGAGTACCAAAAATGTAACAAATCATGTTTTCCGGTCATGTCTTATTAAGAGGTGCCAACCTCCCCCTGGCTCCCCTGTAGTTCGCACCCTGTCTATTAACATATATCATATATTTGGGAGGACGTGACCCCCTGTCCCCTGTGGTGATTAGATGCTTGGTGCACATGAAGCTACACACAACTACTTGTAATGATAAATGCTTTAATTTCAGAACACTACACACTGAAAATAAGAGATAGCACTCAGTTCCATTCAGCATCTACAGCTGTTGTGATAAAAACTATCACACTAGGTCAATTTCAGTGTGTCCGATTCATTCAAAGAGAACATATGTCAGGTTTATTATGCTATAATCCATAGATACCCATAACACACTTCTTTGGCTATTATTACCTTTTTCACTATATCTAGTGTTTAATTTATCTTCAAAATCACATTACAGTCGTGGCATTAGATAAAAAAATATCTCAGGCTGGACAAGCGATGTTAAAGGCCTCTGTACCTGAGAGTAATATCACAGGCGGTCACACCCGTCACTTGATGATGGACGATCCCAAACCTTGGGAATGTGGAAAAAACTGTTCAGATGGTAGAGCTCTTATTCAGATAATAATAAAAAGTATAAAGCTTTGTAATTTAAGTTTTTATTATTAGCAAATCCTGGGAAAAGAACCAATAAAAAATGTATCCTATTAACAGGTATGATTTGTGTTAATATAATGAAAAAGTAATAAAAAACATATGAAACCACATAATTGCATTGGATGATATTTTCCTTCATCATAATTCAGTTGCAATGTTGTTTCAGAAAAAAACGACACCGGCTATACTCATCTTAATGAAGGAATATGGCACCAAAATGAAAGTAGATAGCTCTTTAATGGGTTTTTTAAAGAGTTTTAGATGACTTTGTGTCCACTGCCCGGAGGCATATTTAATCAGCCTTTGACTGTACAGCAATACTTTTAAATTAATTTATGGTTTTAGTCCCTTTAAAGATAAAATAATCCCGGTGGCGACCCATATACGCAGCGGCCTGGGTTCGAGTCTGACCTGCGGCCCTTTGCTGCATGTCGTCCCCCCTCTCTCTGCCCCCTTTCCTGTTTCTCTCCAGCTATTACTGTCATATAAAGGCATAAAGGCCAAACAAATAATATTTAAAAAAAAAAGATAAAATAATCCCTGCATCCTCCAAGAAAACAGCTTTACTGTCATTTTGACGACTGCAAATGAATTTAATTGATGTGGAATAGAATTCTCTTATTAAGTGTGCATTAAATTAAAAATACAGTATAAAGGAGCAACCTCTAAGTGATAATGTGGCTGTAAATATTCAAAACGTTTTTTGACAAAATATTCAGTTTGAGTTTAGGAGCTTCAACGAGATCAGCAATAGCGAGACACATTACATTAAAACCATATTTGAAAAATTTCTTTGGACATTGGAATCCTCATAGGGGAAGTTATTGAGTTATTGAACATAGATTATGAGTGGAGAATGACTTTAAGTCACATATGAAAGTGACTGAAAGTTTTTCCACTACAGCCGTAAAATTCAGATTTTTGCCTTAACTGAAGTATCACCGAATGCTCTATTACACCTGCCCTGTTACTCCTAATACATTTCATTTTGCTCGTTTGGTAGGACAGGCCTGCAAACTACTGTATGTGCTGTTTTTGACGTGTACCACACATATGACTTTTAATTGGCACAGGCAGCTGCTGCAGCTCCAGATGAGAAATATTTCACAAATCTTTCACAGGTAGACAGATGAGTACGATTGACAAGTGGAAGTGCCATCTGCTGAAAAAAAATACATTATTTTGCAGCAGAGCTAGTGTGGAGTACCTATGGTGCAAATATATCTAGTCAAGGTTATTTGGGTCCTTTAACTGCTGGAGGCTTTAACAGGGGCTTACTGTATAGGTTCTTGAAGCTAACCATTTGTTCAGCTGTCACTATAGAGACCACCAAACAAATATGTATGGAAATGATTAGTTGTTGAAAAGTTCCATTCCTGTATTTCCATTTTCTGGCTTTCCATGGATCAAGCATGAGGTTTCCAAAGTTCTGTTTTAAAAGCTGATGTTCAGACTTTATTTTAGACCATGAACTCGGTTGCCATTTAAAAGAAAGAAATCCGAACAGTTTCAGAACTCGAAATTTTTCTCTTTTTTGCTTCTTCTAGCGAGCTGAAACCATCA